ATTCATAAAATCTGAAAGTAGTCACCTGAATCACCAGAATTCACTGAGTGTCATTCTTAAAATAAATGGCCAGAAATTGACGAGTGATCTTTGCTTTTGTAAAATTTTCACTTGTTTCCTAGACTTTTCGTTTTGAGGGTTTTATATGTTATAATAATTGTTTTATCCAATATTGATTTTACATTTTCTTTGGTTCCATGGAAGTTGCAAGTAATCATTCTTGAAATATTTTTGTGGTTATGTGTTTGCTTAATTGTGTTAGTAAATTGTGTGAAAATATTTTAATGATACATGGAATGTTGTCACCTCGTGATAACTGACATGTTGAGAAGTCAGCCTATTTAACCCTGCTTTGGACAGTGCAATATAATAATTTCAATTGTTTGCGGATTAAAAGTACAAAAGGAAAAGATTATTCCTGATTGTTTTTTGTTGTCGCGTGCAGTAAAACCTGGAATGCGTTTTCGTGAAGTCGGTGAAGTCATTAATCGCAATGCGACAATGTCGGGATTCTCTGTGGTAATTTGTAACTTCGAGCTTGGAATTGTGCTGCATTTTTTATTTTAAGATATGGCATACAGATTATGGTAATTTTGTATTGCACCAACAGGTGAAATCATATTGCGGTCATGGTATTGGGGAGCTTTTTCATTGTGCACCAAATATTCCCCATTATGCAAGTATGTTCGATAAGGAAGCTTCTGTATATGTATGAATCATACATTTTCTTGCTTGCACCTTTAATGTTTTTTGCCTGAACCAAGCAGGAAATAAAGCTGTTGGTGTGATGAAAGCTGGACAGACTTTTACAATTGAACCTATGATCAATGCAGGTATTTTGAAAGTTTGTTTTATGATCATATGGGTGATAGGTTTCTTCATTTGCTAGCTACAAATTAACAAACAAAATAAAATATGGATAGGGGTTTGGCGTGATCGGATGTGGCCCGATGGATGGACTGATGTTACAGCAGATGGCAAGCGCAGTGCTCAATTTGAGCACACACTTCTGGTAACTGTGCAGTTTATGTTTCATGCGTAATATGTTTCAACTTATGTAACCGTCACTGCTCCATCATTATTAGAAGACCTTTTTCTTTATTCTTTTCTTATGTGCATATAGTATTGAAATTCTTTGGAATGATCCGCATTTCAATTTATCACGAAAACCATTTGTGAGACTTGTTCTGGGTTTTAAGACAGCTCAAGTATTTGTATTCGCTGTAGCATAGCATTATAACTTCCAAGTGGTGTGGATATGATCCTTAAATAAAAAGTTTG